TTTCTCAACGCGTTGGATTTCGGGGGGGCACACCGGAGGGCTCCGTGGCCCACCTCTTGCCGGCGGGCCCGGGCAGCGCGGCACGGAGAGCGGAACGGAGGCCGCCCGGGCCTGGCCGGCCGCGCGCGAGGGGAAGCGCCCCAGACTGCCCCATGACAGGGGAGGCCCCTTTGGTCTGGACGCCCGAAATGGGTACTGAAAGAATGGGTACAATGCCCAACAACAATTCCTGTTCATTTTGAACAGGATTCGCTGTCCACGCCGCCGCGGCCTGTGTCCATTCGAGACAGAAGGCCGCCTGCCCAACAGCGGCCGCTGTTGGCTTGGGACAACATTTGTTGTTGGGCTTAGTGCCCATTCTTTCCGTACCCATTTCGGGCGTCCAAATTTGGGGCCATCCAGGCCCGTGTGCGAGCCTTCGGGGACCATCTTGGAGCCATCAGGGGACGCGTCGAGCCGTCTGAGATCGCGGACTGCCCTGGCGGCGTGGACGGGACGGTTTCGCCCACACGCAGCGGCGGCGCACGCGAGAGCCTGGGCGCTCTTTGGGTGCGCCTGGGGCCCTCTCTGCGTCCCCGTTGCGGCCGTCTAGGCCCCGTGGCGAGCGCGCGGGGCCCGGGGGGGTGAGGCCCCCGCCAGGCGTTCGCGCTGGGGGGCCGCGCTGCCACGGGAGGGCCGGAGCGGCCGCGCCGCGGGAGCGCGCGCCCGCCCGGGGGGGGGGGGAGGGCGGAGCGGCCGCGCGGCGGGGGCGCGCCCGCGGGGGGAGCGTCGCGGAAGGGGTGCCCGGGAGGAGCGCGCCCCGAGGGGCGCGCGCCGGCGAGGCGCACCCCGCGCAAGTCGGGGGCGGCCCAGAGGGGGGCGATGACTCGGGGGGGGGGTGGTAGACATCATGGCGTGGGCCATGAGATTTCCCTCGATTTCATGGCGCCTCTGCTGATTTCATTACGTCCCTGGCCCCCCCCTCTGGGCCGCGCACATGCCGCCGGTCATGATTTGCACCCCCCCCCTCTTGGACACCCCCCTCTTGGCCCATCCCGCGCAAGGACATAAAGCGAACATTTCAACACATGCTGAAAGCTTTTCGCCCTGACATTTCGGTGGCGCCCCGCGTGTGGCCGATGTGTTCGAAACGTGCTGTTTTGATGCTTGAAGCTGTTTTCAATGTGTTCGAGCTGGAACATCAAGCAAGCATGTTTGAAACGTGCAGAGAGCATTGGTTACGCATCTGATATGCGTGTTCCAATGGGGCGCCCAGCGAGGAGACGTGGAACAAAAACATAGGAAGAAGCACGACAACGCATTTCGCCCGGACACTTCTGGGGCCCCCGCCCCGCGTGTGGGCGCCCCGCAGGTTCCCCCCCGCGGCCCCCTCCCCACCTGGGCTGCCCCATACATTTTCCTGTCTACACGAGTACTCAAATCCCCTCTTCCTCTTCCTTCTCCTCCTCCTCCTCCTCCTCCTCCTCCTCCTCCTCCTCCTCTCCTCCTCCGCCTCCTCCTCCTCCTCCTCCTCCTCCTCCTCCTCCTCCTCCTCCTCCTCCTCCTCCTCCTCCTCCTCCCCCCCCCTCCCTGGGGTTAACGGGCCACCTCATGTATAGCAATTTCCAGGTGATTCTGCCCCATCGTCCATCCTGAGTATGAAGGCGTATCAACCATCCCAGCCAGGTCGGAGTTCGGTCCCCCCCTCATCCTCTGCAGATGATGCTGTGCGTGCGCACTCGTTTATCAAACAACATGATGATGATGATGATTATGATGATGATGATGATGATGATGATGATGATGATGATGAGGATGATGAGGATGATGATGATGATGATGATGATGATGATGATGATGATGATGATGATGATGATGATGATGATGATGATGATGATGATGATGATGATGATGATGAGGAGGAGGAGGAGGAGGAGGAGGAGGAGGATGAGGATGATGATGATGATGATGAGGAGGAGGATGATGATGATGATGATGAGGATGATGATGATGATGATTATGATGATGAATATGATGATGATGCTGATGCTGATGCTGATGATGATGAGGATGATGATGATCATCATCGTCGTCGTCGTCGTCATCATCATCACATATATATATATATAGTTATAAGAACAGTTTGGCAAACGTTCGACGAAGTGCGCACGCGCTCGTCGTCGCGTGCATGCCGAAATCTTTCAAACACCTTAGGTTTCGCAAGGGTTCCAGATCAAGAGTCACGAACACATGTGAGAAACACTGTTTCGTAACAGTGATTTTCACCAACGCCTGCGCCCGCGTTCTTGCGAATTCTGACGAAAACCATCGGTTTCCAACATGTCCATAAAATGCTACCTCACGGGCCTCTCGCGCGCGCATGCCGACAGCGTTCGCACGCCCTTGCGTGCGTGCTGTCGCAATAATCCGTGTCAACAAATGGGACGAAGTGCGCACGCGCGCGTCGACGCGCGCGCATGCCGAAATCCTCTAACAATTTTAGGTGTTGTAAGGATTTCAAAAACGAGTGTCCCAAAAACATATAAAAAACAATGTTTTGCAACAGCAGCTTTTCAACACAAATCCTGCGCTCGCTGTCCTGCGGATTCTTAGTACAACCATTTGTTTTCCCCACATGTTCATCAAATTCTGCCAAGCGGGTCTCTCGCGTCGTATGTCGAACTTATTCGAACGCTCTCGCGCGCGTGCTGGAGGGGCACGATCCGTCTCACATAATACCACGCGGGCCACTCGCGCGCGTCAGCCGCGTGCGCATGTCGAGCTCCTTCAAAAACCTTCATCGCCGAATCGAGGACATCGTCATCGTTACCGGTGGGCATAATCAACATCGGCGCTGTCATTGGCATTGCCGTCGTCATCGCCACCATCATTTTCACCTTCATCGCTACTCTCATAATCGTGTCAACCATTGTCGGCGTCGCCATGATACCGCGCCCGCCCAAATCATCGACTCGCTCTAATGTGCCCGCTGGGAAGTGCCCAGCAGTCAGCGCCGCCCGGGACGCGTCGGTCGGCAAAACTGGCTGGCCGCTGTGCGCGTGAGCATGCGCGGGCTAGTGCGGCCGCAGAGATGCACCAGCCGACGCCAAGCACCCATCGCAATCGCCGCTGCATGGGTTTCGCAAACCAAGTTGCGGGTGGGTGGGTGGGATGTTTGCAAGAGCATGGAATTTGTCGATTCATTTGCAACATATCACGCTCCCTTATAGGACTTCCCCATAGGATTCCCCACAGGGAATCCTCCCCCATAGGATTTCCCATGGGGTTTGGGCTCTCCGATAGGACATCCCCATCGGATTCCCCCATAGGAATCCCATAGGACTTCCCCACACGACTCCCCCGCAGGACTCCCCCGTAGGACTCCCCCATAAGACTCCCCCATAGGACTCCCCCCTGGGACCCCCCCATGAACTTCCCCAAGACCGGCGGCCCACGCGCAGGGGTCCCTGAACCCGTTCGATGTCGCTTTTTGTCATGTATGTGTGTGTATATATATGTGTGTGTGTGCAAATACGGGTGTGTGTATCTATGTACATATATATATATATAGATATAGTTCTTCACCTCGAGTGCTGGGATCTCGAACGTGATTTGAACGTGGAAAACAAGAATTTTGTGATCGGGTGCTTACGTGGGCCCATCGTCGTGGCGTCCACAGCCCCACATGGGGCCCGTCAGGGCTCCTCTTTGGGCCGCTGCTGACTCCCACAGGGCCCTCACTGGCCCACGTAGGACCTTTTCTTCACCCCCCAAGAACGTCCCCCCCCATATCCAAGGGCGCCCTCGAGGGCGCGAAATTATTCGCGCTTCGCGGTTCGGCTCCGATTCCTCCTCTTCCTCCTCTTCTCCCCTGGGAGGTGGCGCGAGAGCGCAAAGTTACTCGCGCTTCGCGCTTCGCGCAGCGCGAAGCGCGAAGTTGGGAGCCCTTGTTTTCGTCACCCCCCAAGAATGCCCCCCCCCATGTTCCGTAGCCATTTTGGCTCAAGGTGATTCCAGGCCGGGCAGTTGGCAGGTTCAAACATCACGCAATGGCAGGTTTCGACGAGGAGGCACAGCTTGGTGACGAGCGCGTACGATTTGTCACCGTCTTGGAGTCGTCAGATGATGAAGGTTCTCAGGAGGAGTCGTCAGATGATGAAGGTTCTCAGGAGCCTCGGCCTACGATGTTTGAGCGCATGCAATTTCAGTTCAGCCAGTTCAAGGTCTCTGCTGTCGGCATATTCTTCTTCCAGCGGCGGTTACCCATACAAGATATCGTTTCGGATGCGATGGTAACCTTTGGCCCGCAGGGCCTCTATTGGGACGGTTCCAATCCTTGGTGGGGCCGTTTGTCAGCCTTCTTTATGATATTGCCATTCGTGATCCTTTGGGTTTGCATGGTTCCTATCGTCTGTAAAGAACAGGCATCTTGAATTCCACCTAACATATACTGCGGTCGTGTTGGGCTATATTGCTATTATGTTGTTGCTATTCGTCTATATTGCTGGTACGTGTTGTTTTGGCGTTGTTTATGGTTATGTGCCTTTCTTTTGTCCTGCATTGTTTATGGTTCTGTCCTGCATTCTTTATGGTTCTGTGCCTTTGATGTTTTGCTGTTGTCTATGTGAAATAATGGGTCTCCATGATTGTGCATGGGTCGTCCTCGGGCTCCCAGTATGCATGGTCTTGGATGTGGTTTGCCTTGTGCGTTATCCTTGTTGGCAGCCGCGCAAGTCTTGGCTGCTCAATTCACTGCGGCTTCGCGTGGTCATCGAGACGCTGGTTGAGTCGCCACCACAAACTCTTCTACATATGCGTATATGTTGGGTCAGGTGGTTTCGTGCCGACGACAGCATGCACATGGATTTCAGAATCATGGGTTTCGGGATCCTGCTTTTCTCGATGGCCACTTTTTTCGCATCGATGACATTGACGGTCCTTGACATATGCGAATTGGCCAACGAGCAGGATATTGGTTTTTGGCGTGGTTTACAGGACCAACTTCTAGTTGGCCTCGGCAGGACAGCCCCGCTTCTTTACATCCTCAAGTTGCAGGCCGACGTCGGCTACGAGCCAGAGGGCAGAGTTCGAACTAAGCATTTCAAGCAGATTGCCTCTTCTGCGTCCAACAGCAAGGCGCTGGACACCATCCAGTTCCATTGTGAGAATAATGGTCTCAGCGTGGATGGCGTTGTTTGCCTTCTCCAGTTCATCAAGCATACACGCCCGATCATGTCCCGCCTCAAATTCACCACTAGTGGTGATTCTGGAAACAACGAGTGGTTCTGGTGCGGGTGCGGCGGATTCGTTGTCGGCGATTTCGATCAGCTCGGTTGGGCAGATGGCAAGGTGCACCTCGAACTTCACGATGACATCCCATTGTCGAGATTCGCAGAGATTGCTAAGCGAATACTTGACTACCCTGGGCGTTGCTTCCACGTGGTCTCTGGAAGCGGTGATCGCCATGAGTTTCTCCAGGACCAGACTCTCGTTGATTTGGCGGTTCGCCTGCCGAACACCGCCGCCAGCGTCGATTTCAATTTCCTCTCCAAGGACAAATTCACCGACGACGGCCTGAAGGCTTTTGCGAACGGTCTTCCTGCCAATCTCACCTCCGTGCACTTGAACTTCAACAGTAACGTTAGTTTCGCAGACGATGGGTTGGGCGCCCTTGCCAACGGTCTGCCCGCCAATGTCACCTCCGCCCGCGTGAACTTCAACGGCGGCATTCAGAATTTCACCGACGAAGGATTGGAAGCAGTGGTGAAGAGGTTGCCTGCCTGCGTGAGTCATATCGACCTGGACTTTGGAGGCAGCGACAAGTTCAGCAACCAGGGTTTGAAGGCCCTTGCGAGCTTTCTCCCCGCAGAGGTCACATCACCTCCGTCCACTTGAACTTCAACAGTAATCGTAGTTTCACAGACCATGGGTTGGGCGCCCTTGCCAAAGGTCTGCCCGCCAATGTCACCTCCGCCCGCGTGAACTTCAACGGTAATCAGAATTTCACCGACGAAGGATTGGAAGCAGTGGTGAAGAGGTTGCCTGCCTGCGCGAGTCACATCGACCTGGACTTTGGAGGCAGCGACAAGTTCAGCAACCAGGGTTTGAGGGCCCTTGCGAACATTCTGCCCGCCAAGGTCACTTCCGTCCGCCTGAATTTCAACGACAATCAGAATTTCACCGACGAAGGATTGGAAGCAGTGGCGAAGAGGTTGCCTGCCTGCGCGAGTCACATCGACCTGGATTTTGGAGGCAACGACAAGTTCAGCAACCAGGGTATGAGGACCCTTGCGAACTTTCTGCCCGCCAAGGTCACTTCCGTCCGCCTGAATTTCAACGGCAATCAGAATTTCACCGACGAAGGATTGTAAGCAGTGGCGAAGAGGTTGCCTGCCCGCGTGAGTCACATCGACTTGGATTTTGGAGGCAACGACAAGTTCAGCAACCAGGGTTTGAGGACCCTTGCGAACTCTCTGCCCACCGAGGTCACCTCCGTCCGCCTGAGTTTCAGGAAGAGCGAGAAGTTCACAGACGACGGTTTCATTTGCTTGATGGAGTGGCTGAGCAAAGCCTTGGCGAAACGCAGGGGGTTCAGTATTGATGAACGCAGTGTGTTAGGTGTTTTCCACGCCGACTTGGATTTTGGGGGCAGCATCGAATTTGCTTATGATCTAAAGGATCTGAAAGCCAGATTGACCAATCAAAGCGAAGCTGAAAGCGAAGATGAACAGGATTACAACATCGTGTTGACTTTCAGCAAGAACAGTAAGATCAATCATCATGGGGCCGATATTGATGGCGTCTTGATACGTTATGTTTGAGGGCGTGAGCATCAGCAAGGAGTTCCAGGTTCAGGTGATGCATCATTTCGATTTTAACGAGTTGGAGGAGCATCCATGTGTATATCCTCAGTGGTTCGTGGCTCGGGCTGGTGGTCGTGGTTCGGATGGCCGCAGCTGTGAGAAACGAGGGAGATTGAGCGAGACAAGATTGCATGAATTTTTCGATAGGCGGCGAGGCATGGAAGCATCGCGTTTCACGCGTCTGCCTCGCAAAGAAGGTGTGGGGCGGCAACAACTGACCCCAACGTGGATCAGCTTTGGGCCAAACAATGTTGCTACAGTTCAGATTTTCACGCGTGATTGCATAACGTCTCTGGGACTTCTCTAACATCCAGTCAGTAATGTCTTCTCTGCCCCGTTGTATTTTTTCTGCGCTGGCACGGATATCCAGCTGCATCGGCGAACGTGTTGGCTTGGCAAAATATGCCGCGCGTGTCAGTCAGCAACCTGAGGAAGGGGGATTTGCATACAATACATATACAGGTACTTATATACGAAAGAGCGTGTTCTACCGCTGCTGGCGGAAAACCGGGGGGGGGTCACTACCGGTTCGAAACCCTCCCCCCCCCCCTCTCCGGAAAACCGGGGGGGGTCACTACCGGTTCGAACCCCTCCCCCCCCCCCAGCTCATCATGAAAAGAAGGGGGGGGTCACTACCGGTTCGAACCCCCCTCCCCCCCCCTCCTCGAAAACCGGGGGGGGGTCACTACCGGTTCGAACCCCCCACCCCTCGAAAACCGAAGGGGGGTGTGGACAGTGGTGAGGGGACAGCGGGACAGTGGTGGGGACAATGGGACAGTGGGACAGTAGTGGGCCGGTAGTGGTGGGGACAGTGGTGGGGACAATGGTGGGAACAGGGGGGACAGTGGACAGGGGTGGGGACGGTGGTGGTGGGGACAGTGGTGTGGGCACAGTGGGAATGAGGTGGAAACAGTGGGACAGTGGAGGGTACAATGGTGGTGGGGACAGTGGTGAAGGCGGTGGCGAGGATGGCGGTGGGACACTGGGACAGAGGTACAGTGGGGACAGTGGTGGGGACAGTGGGGACAGTGGTGGGAACAGTGGGACAGCTCAGTGGGACAGCGGCGGAGTCAGTGGGACAGCGGGGACAGTGGGGATAGTCGGGCAGTGGTTGGGGCCGTGGACACAGTGGGGAGAGTGGAACCGTGGTGGGAACAGTGGTGGGGACAGTGGGGACAGTGCGACAGTGGTGGGGGCACTGGTGGGGACACAGTGGGGACAGTGGTGGTGAGGACAGTGGTGCTGGGAACAACAGTGGGGGATGTGATGCGGACGGTGGTAGGGACCGGGAGTCGTTTGCTGGCGGTGAGTGGAAGGGGTGGGGAGGGGTTCGAGCCGGTAGTGATCCCCCTCCGGTTTTCGATGGGGGGGGGGGTCGAACCGGTAAGGACCCCCCCCCCGTTTTCCG